AATCAACTGAATATTACCTCTTATACGTGTGTATTTTCAGAGAAACGAAACTAACGAATTTTCCTTTGTATTTGGGTCTGTGTGACCCAATGATGTAACGTTTTAGCTCAACATTTTATTGCAAAGTAAAAATACATGTTTACGAGTGTATGAAAGAATTTTTTATTGCTAGAACAGAGTAGTGATGAAAAGTTTCGTTTTGTTCTGCAAATATTACAAATTTTTACAAACATTTTGTTCTGCCTTTGTATCTACATATGTAAAATATTTTACACCTTTCCGCGTATCATAAATGCATGACACATTCGTAGTTTTTTGTATTCATGAAAACAATATAAAAGTAATTGTTATGATTTGAAATAATTATATAGTTTTTAAATAAGTACAGTAGGAGGTTAAATGGTTATTACCAAACTAGTCGTTATATAATTAACTGTTTTCAAATAAATACAATAGGAAGTTAAATGAATATTTCCAAAGTAGTTGTTATATAATTAACTGTTTTTAGATAAATACAATAGGAAGTTAAAGTACCAAACTAATTGTACAATTAACTGCTTTTAGATAAATACAATGGAAAGTTAAAGTACCAAACTAATTGTATAATTAAGTGTTTTTAGATAAATGCAATGGGAAGTTAAATGACTATTACCAAACTAAATCAATAAAATTAGGTATATTGTAAAACACAGATGTTGCAACTACGTATGGTAATAAATTTAATATTCATCATGTTTCAAGTATAAGATTCATTATATTTTTCATTATATTTTATTATATTTTCATTATATTTTTCATTGGTGATTTGCTGTTTAACTTATCATCATTGTTAATTCATCGGGTGTGATATTACTATAATGGCAGTTAAAAAGTTACTAATTTCACTACATACTGTTTACAACACTGTTAACTATAATTCTATCAATAATTTTTATTAGATATAAAGGAGAAAGTTAAAATTATAATAATTATTGACCAATAGCGTAACTAGGACCGGGGTGGTCCAGTTTGAGTTAGAGTGGATCATCACCCATTGAATGGCATTGGTAACTACCATACTAAATACTAATTATCCCCCAGAAATAGGAATTAACCTTCCAAAATACAAATTGAACTTTCAATATATGAATTGTTTTTCAAAAATATAAATTAACCTTCCGAAATACTAATTAACTTTCCAAAATACAAATTAACCTCTTAGAACACAATCTAACCTTCCAAAATAGAAATTGACCTTTCAACATGCAAATTGGTGAACTAAAATACAACTGCACCCTCTAATGAAATTCTAAAAATGAACTTTTCAGCTTAAAATAGAAATTAGTTCCTTTAAAGTGAGAACCACTATTCTAAACAGTAAATTAATCCTTTAAAATAAAAAATAACACCTCCAAATGTGAAGCGACTTTCTACAGTGCAAATTATTCCCCATCAATATGAACTAACCTCTTAAAATGAAAATTAGTCCCACAGAAATGTGAACTGACATCTTAAATTGAAAATTAGTCCCACAGAAATGTGAACCAACCTCTTAAAATGGAAAGTAGTTCTCCAAAAATGTGAACTAACCTCTTAAAATGAAAATTAGTCCCACAAAAATGTAAACTACCCCCTAAAATGGAAAGTAGTTCTCCAAAAATGTGAACTAATCCTCCAAAATGGGAAATATTTCTCCAAAAATGTGAACTATCCCCCCAAAATGGAAACTAGTCCCCCAAAATGTACGCTTGGTCTTCACCCCATCAAAAATCAGTGAAATAAAATAACATTCGTCAGCTCGAAAATTCTTACTTCAACGAAGAGAAATTCTTCGTTATACTTAATAAAAATATTACCACAAAAAATTAATTACAATATAAAATTACAATGAATAAAAAAACCATTATATACCTAAACGATATTCACAACCTGGTGCACTCTAAATAAAATTTTAATTGCGCCAACATGTTCATGATATTTGTAATCGACTAAATTAAGTAATCGATACCAAATAAAAGTATTAATAATAAAAAACAACGTACATCTAAATAATCGAGAGCATTATTCATTCACAAAAAATCTGCCTCGAAATAAAAACCAGTCCTTGTCTGGACGCGATTTCGATACGAAGATACTTGTTAAGTGAAAATGAAAAAAGAAACAGTTGGTAACGAATGGTAATTAGTGGAATGGAAAAGTTGTTCTTTTTCAAACATTCGTGAGAACGAAAGCCGAAAATTGTTTTAATTGACTCCGTACGAGCATCGTGTGCGATTACAAAAAGTAAAAAAAGAAACGGAATGGATTTCAGTAACAGAATCAAAACGCGAACGTAACAAACGAGATCGGACGGGTTTAATAATTTACCAATCGAAGGTGCAATTACTCACCGTACTCGCCGATAATTTCAAGTGACTGAAGAGCCCGCGAGAGACACAAAGTATCCGAAGGGTTAATTCTGCCGATATCGTTGCAGAGATTTCCAGCCGATCGATCATTGACTGGTTACGCCAATGCAGCTACCTGTAAAACCACCAAAAATTAAGGTGAAACGATAATTGCCACACCTATCTCTTCAAACGAACACGATCAGCCTTGTTCGTGTTTCTACTCGGGCTTCAACAGCTTCATGAACGGAGAAAATTACGTCGGTTCTTTTCAATTACGATTCAAATAGTAAATGTAATTAAATTTACATTCTGCCTAATTAAACTCGAATTTCATCACGCTAAAAGTTTTGGTTGAAACGGTTAAACACGAATAACGTGCTTCCGTCCTACTTGCGTAGTCACCAATGAACGATCATACTCCTCCATTTACTGTTTCATCAACTAACCTTCGCTTTTGCTGCTGAATATTTCAGGGTAGTGAAAGTGAAAACGAACAGGAATAAAAGAACGTGGTTGAACTTTTGAGTGGTTAGAGGATAATCTTGGAGATGGATTAATCGTTAAGCTAAGAGAACGTGATTGAGGTACAAAGGGGTAAGGACATTTTATATTTACGGTGGTGTTTTTGTATTGTACCAAATTTGTAGGGGTTCATACAGGGTTCTCAAACTTTTGAAGGTTTAAAGATTCCTAGTTTTAAGAGTCATCAAATTGGAAAATTATGAACTCTTGGAACTTCAAGGTTTTGTGGTCTTGAAGGTCCAAAAATCCCAAAGTCAAACTTCAGAAATTGCAAGCTTCTAAAATTTCTTAAATTAGAAAACCAAATTCTTGAAGCTCTAAAACCCCAAAGTCTCAAGAAATTTAAACTTTAAACTAATCCTCCAAATTCCTTTAATTTTAATTCCAAATTCGTTCCAAATGCTGAAATTTCAAAATCCCTTAAATCTAGAATTGTGCATTAACTAAATATTGGCACTGAAATCCGAAAATGAATTAATTAACAATCGAACGTTCTCTATTAATACAGTTTATTAATAAGTCAAAATGTACAAGTAAATATACTCGATACATACCTATCACTACTTAACTACAACTATGTCAATGTTCACAGTCCTACCGCATTTAACCCCTAAACTCATGTACATATGAATGTAAAGAATAACCGAGTCGATTAAGAAAGAAAATAGCTCTTGAAGTCCTCCTCAAACTGCTCAATCGAAAATATCGAATCGAGAATGATTTCGCAACGACCTAACCTCGAAACGCATTTACTCATGCGCGCCATTACAGATGATGGCGCTGCATCAAGGATTCTGCACCCCTTCCGCTCGACTTGAAACTCAAAAATACTCTTGGTTTCATTTTTTTCCATCAGTTGGTCGTTGTTCGATACAAGTATTATCCGTCGTTCCGCAACTTATACAATGAATATTAAAAAATCTCCTCCCATAATTATCTCCGAGACGCGTATCGCCGTCGTATAGCCCGCTTTGTATATTGAACGACATGGTTGCTGGAAGCCTGGTAATGGCGGCGCTCGCTGTACGGGGTCCATGAGCGCGTAAATATCAGCACGAATGAGCGGCAACGAGCAAAGACCGGCTCTCTGCTCCGCTCATCTCGGATCAGAAGTGAAAGAAGGATAGAAAAGGAAACTAGTGACAAAGAACGAAAAAGAGGAGAGTCGAAGGGGTAGGTGGGGGGGCTAACAAATAGAAAAAGAGAGAAATCGAGGGGCCGTCATAATTCCTTGAATTGAACGGCGGGTTATTCTCCACCAAGGTTACCGACATAGAGGATGAACGAAGCGGGCAGGCCAAGCAAGCAAGCAAGCAGGCTAGCAACCTAGCAGGCAGACTAGCATGCAAGCAAGTAAGTAAACGAGCAAGGCAGGTAGGTAGTCAGGCAGTCAGGCAGGCCAAGCAAGCAGACAGGCAAGTTGGGCCGCCGGTGAGAGACTCGCGATGTGGAAAAGAGACGGACAGATTGAAAAGCAAAAGAGGGGGTACATGACGAGTAGGATGAGAAGAGGTTCGGTGAGAGGGGAAAGGGGGAAGGGGAGGGAATCGATAGAACGACAAGGACGGGTGTGCGAGTGTATATACCGCAGCACGGCAGCATCAGGCGTCGTCGACGGTACATGGACTTGAATCAGACGAGGGGTTGCAGGGGAAGGGAAACGTTTCGTGGCGTCCCTGGCTGGCGGCGCCAGCGTCGCGTCGCTGTAGGAACGTGGCACCTACGTCGATGGTGTACGGTGCGCGCGCGCACGCGTGTACGTGTGTGGCATAGCGGTAACGATGTGGAATAAGGCAACGTTGGTGGTAGTAACAGCCAGAGTAGGGGAAACGTCAGGCTGGCAGGCATGTGCGATATAGCGAGAGAGAGAGAGGAACCGGCGGACAACGAGAACTCACGGGGCGACAAGGAAGGGGATTGGTCGAAGCGTCGGTACGATCGGGGTGGGGAAGGAGGGCAACACGATCAGGTCGGCAGGCCGGTGAGAGAAGGATACGAGGCGAGAGAGAGAGAGATAGAGGAAGAAACGTTGATGTCGAGGTGAGCGAAACAGAACGAGGAGGGGAGTGGACGGGCGGTCGGTCGACAGCACACAGTCCTACCGCATTTAACCCCTAAACTCATGTACATATGAATGTAAAGAATAACCGAGTCGATTAAGAAAGAAAATAGCTCTTGAAGTCCTCCTCAAACTGCTCAATCGAAAATATCGAATCGAGAATGATTTCGCAACGACCTAACCTCGAAACGCATTTACTCATGCGCGCCATTACAGATGATGGCGCTGCATCAAGGATTCTGCACCCCTTCCGCTCGACTTGAAACTCAAAAATACTCTTGGTTTCATTTTTTTCCATCAGTTGGTCGTTGTTCGATACAAGTATTATCCGTCGTTCCGCAACTTATACAATGAATATTAAAAAATCTCCTCCCATAATTATCTCCGAGACGCGTATCGCCGTCGTATAGCCCGCTTTGTATATTGAACGACATGGTTGCTGGAAGCCTGGTAATGGCGGCGCTCGCTGTACGGGGTCCATGAGCGCGTAAATATCAGCACGAATGAGCGGCAACGAGCAAAGACCGGCTCTCTGCTCCGCTCATCTCGGATCAGAAGTGAAAGAAGGATAGAAAAGGAAACTAGTGACAAAGAACGAAAAAGAGGAGAGTCGAAGGGGTAGGTGGGGGGGCTAACAAATAGAAAAAGAGAGAAATCGAGGGGCCGTCATAATTCCTTGAATTGAACGGCGGGTTATTCTCCACCAAGGTTACCGACATAGAGGATGAACGAAGCGGGCAGGCCAAGCAAGCAAGCAAGCAGGCTAGCAACCTAGCAGGCAGACTAGCATGCAAGCAAGTAAGTAAACGAGCAAGGCAGGTAGGTAGTCAGGCAGTCAGGCAGGCCAAGCAAGCAGACAGGCAAGTTGGGCCGCCGGTGAGAGACTCGCGATGTGGAAAAGAGACGGACAGATTGAAAAGCAAAAGAGGGGGTACATGACGAGTAGGATGAGAAGAGGTTCGGTGAGAGGGGAAAGGGGGAAGGGGAGGGAATCGATAGAACGACAAGGACGGGTGTGCGAGTGTATATACCGCAGCACGGCAGCATCAGGCGTCGTCGACGGTACATGGACTTGAATCAGACGAGGGGTTGCAGGGGAAGGGAAACGTTTCGTGGCGTCCCTGGCTGGCGGCGCCAGCGTCGCGTCGCTGTAGGAACGTGGCACCTACGTCGATGGTGTACGGTGCGCGCGCGCACGCGTGTACGTGTGTGGCATAGCGGTAACGATGTGGAATAAGGCAACGTTGGTGGTAGTAACAGCCAGAGTAGGGGAAACGTCAGGCTGGCAGGCATGTGCGATATAGCGAGAGAGAGAGAGGAACCGGCGGACAACGAGAACTCACGGGGCGACAAGGAAGGGGATTGGTCGAAGCGTCGGTACGATCGGGGTGGGGAAGGAGGGCAACACGATCAGGTCGGCAGGCCGGTGAGAGAAGGATACGAGGCGAGAGAGAGAGAGATAGAGGAAGAAACGTTGATGTCGAGGTGAGCGAAACAGAACGAGGAGGGGAGTGGACGGGCGGTCGGTCGACAGCACGGTTGAGAGGGGTCCAGAGGGGTAAGGGGAGCCAGAGCCGACTTTATGCAGCTGCGGGACGATAACAACGATGGGCTACAGGACCGCCGCTATAGCTGGGGAAATGCCAAATGGGCTACAGGACTGTGCCGGCCTAGCTGTACGTTCGCTCGCTCGTAGTGGCATGGCGGACGGGTGGTAGAGAGAAGCAGGCAGGAAAGGCGGGAAGGAGAAAGGGATTTCAAGCGGTCGTCTCTTCTCGTCTACCTCTGCGCCTCTACCTACCTATATGTGTATCTACCTACCCGTCCCGGGTGCTCTCTCCGGGTACTCTTCTCACTACTGCCTGGAACGCAACGTCCTAGCCGTACCTAACCTCCACTGTTTTCTGCGGCTAGCGCCCTTGCCGATGTTCCTCGGCATCGGGGCACGTACTCGCTTACGCAGACTTCGATGTCATTCATCTTGAGCGAAGTCGATTATTGTTCTCTTTCAAGGATCTTATGCTCCTAAGACTATCATGTCACGCTTTACTACAATACGTAACGCAAACCTTTTTACCTACACCCTTCCCGAGAAACCAAAATGCCCAAAAACTTCTCCTCCTACTGTCTCCTACAGTCGTATGAAAGAATAACGATATGCGAACAATACTGTACGAGAGAAAGATATCCATTGTTTACAATTATCGAAAGGTCCACATGATAAATGCGTTACCAGCCCCGAACAAGGTTGAATAAGCAGTTTTACGAAACGGGTAGATGTCGCATAGCGAGAAACAGGCTTACACGCTTACGTACTGAAATATGCAAAGAATATACGACCCGTAAAAATCCATATTTAAAACGCGGAGGGTTTTCGAAATTAATAATTCGTCCCTGCCTTTTCTTACATCGTTCTACCTCGGAAGATCTAGATTTCGTAATTTTAGAAACCACGAGGATGCGAATATTCCCTGTCGAGGGCTACTTCGTCAAAAATGATAGTCCTCGACGGCCAGAAAGAACCGGCGCGCAGTAAAAAAGAAATCTGGCTTTATCGTGTTTGAATTTGCCGCTGATTGCCGTAGGTGGATATATAGGCGCGAGAACACAACATGCTTTCGACAATCGTCGACGAGATACGTCGGTCCACGCAGTGACGTCAGAAGGTGGTCCAATCCTGTCGGATACGTCCATGGCCCGATCTCACCCTATATTGCAGGAGCGACAGAGAGGAAGCGGCGAAGAAGGACAACGCTCATACACGTAACGCGATGAAGACGAGGATAGAAATAGGTGTACGTATATAGATATCAGCGGAATGGAAAGAGACAGAGAAGGAGAGTCGCAGAGGGACGCAAGAGCCAGCAAATGAGAGCGCAGTCCGACAAATAGAAGGAGAAGACAGTTCGAGTTCCGCTCTCCTGCTCTTACGAGACGTCGTGCACGCCGATTCGAGCCTTGCGATATTGTTGCCAGAACTGTTCGCTACGATGATCAGAATTTTCCCGACGGTGTGACTATTGGGATAAATCTCGATTTTACGTCTTGTCTGGCACGTGCGTTCATGTACGATGACCCCCATTAGTACGTGGACAACGTGATAGTTCAAATAATTACTGCTCCATATCGGTTCTATGACATGATACGACTTTTATTTTGAAATGGCAGATTTCAGGGTCTTTCAAGATGCGAGTGTTGGGATCCGTCTGTGGAGGATCAAAATATTTAGTGTTTTGGTATCTACAGACGACTTTAATTCAGAATATGTACTCTGAAAGGATATTCTGGCTTTTCATTTGGGATTCTGGAGATTTGGACCTTTGGAGTTTAGGGACTTTGTTTGAGACTTTAGGACCTTGGGACTTGAGATTTTAGGACCTTGAGATTTTGAAAGTTTGTGGACCTTTGGAGATGCAGATAACTTGAGAATTTTAGGACTTTAGTGGGGATTTTAGTTTTTTGGAACTTTGAGGCTCTGGGACTTTGAACTTGTCAAATTTGAGACTTTGCTCTGGAATTTTGAAACTATGGAATTTTAGAACTCTAGAATTTTTCAGTCAGTTTGAAACTTTACAACTTTAGAATTGTGAAGTTTATAGATTTCAAGATTTTGGAACGAATGGTATTTTTCAAATTATTGTCTGTTAAAAATCGAAATTTTAGAAATTTAGGACTTGAGAATATTTTAATTTTGGAATGTTGTGATTATGGAAAATATGATCCATGGAAAATTTAGTAGTAAATAGTAGTAAAAAATTTCTATGAAATTTTGCTTAATGCTCTAAGCACATTGTTTGATGATTAATGCAATAATTCACATTAATATATGGATACCATAGTAATTCAAATAATTATTGTTCAGTGTCCCCATTCGCAATTGCAATTCGAAAAAAGAGTTATTATGTAGTATCCGAATCGATAGAAATGCAAATTATTTCTTCGTTTTTATAATTTAGCGAGAAACTTGTTTTTGTATATAGTGGTTCACATTATTGATGATTCATATAATTCCATGCACACAGCTTACAATTAAGATAAAATAATATTGCGAGTAATTACTGCAAATTATTTATAATAACCTAATAAGAGTGAGAACAATAATTACATATACATGCGAATATTATGTATTCACATATTTTATCGACACACCCTGTATATATTTTATGTTTTAATAAAGTGTCTCCGAAAACTTGAGTGCCCATTATCTTTTATCTTCCACGATTATTCAAGTAATTATTACGTGTACCCACTTACAGTTATGTCAAAAACGTAGCTGTTATATAGTGTAATAAAACGTTTATTGCAGATGACAAAAATGTAAGTTTAATGTACTATGATTATTTTTATGTAATACAAATAGAAACAGAACCAGTGTAAACTTGGGTCATTCAAAAATATCCAGATATACTGTTCTAAACTATTTATAATTCTCATTTAATCAGATGACATAGTTTTATAGGTTTAAGTTACGTTAGATGATTCATAATTGGCATTTGTGTCTGCACTTTAACTTGTTAATACATAAAATTAAAATATTGTAAGTTTCTCAATTATATTTCAATTGTTAAAATAATTCACTTAAAAATATATGTAAGTATAATTTTGGAGATCAGATTATTACATACAATTTATTATTTCATAATTAACTAACTATGTTTCTATCTTAATAATGTGGGACATTTCAACATATTTTAATGAAACATTTTGAACATATTAATTGGTAGAATTTATTGTTGTTTATAAAAAAGTATTCATTTATATTAGAAAGGGAGTATCTGTAAGAAGAAATTAATTTGAATATTATATAATAATATTAACAATCTAATGTTTATCTTCTTACATCATTTGTTTTATGAGAACATATTATGTGTACCTTTCCATGTCCTAAAAGAACATTAAACAAATCTAACAACAATTTTAATTCGTTCCTTACATGCAATTAAAAATACAAGAATATAACCTGCAGTTAGAATATTCTTGTAATACTCTAACTATAAGAATGTTCCATAATTTTAGAGTGCCACTCAAAGTGTTAAGTAAAGTTAGAATGACCTACATGCTTTTTAAGGAGCTAAAAACAACTTAATTTAACTGTTTTAACTGCTCTTCTTTATTTTGTTTGTACAACTGTTAGGTTAATTAAGCAGAAGAACACGACAATAATCGAAAATAAAAATGCTAAAATCTATGTTTGTTAATATTTAAATATCTACGTTGAGTTTAATTCGAAGCTACAGCTACCTTCTGAACTCGATCGATAAGGTAAAATTAATTTTATTCGAATTTCGACGAAGTTTTATATTTCTAATCATTTAAAATGGTATTAAGTTTGTAAGACATAATAATTACATACTTTTTAAGCGATAAAATAAAAAATTTCAAATAAAAATCTCGCCTTCGTTGAATACTGCATACGTATCGACCGGCGATGGTAATAAATGGACCTAGAAATTGGTTATTTTCACAAAATTGTACATTGTTCGTAAAATTAAAACATTCAACTATTAAAAAAACGATGAGTACGCTTCTAATAATGTCGTAATTAAATGTATATCAAGAAAAAATCTAACTTGATTAGTTCGTACTTAATATTCGGAAGCCCGCGAAATTTAAATGTGCTCGCGGCAATGTGCAAGCTACGCGTCATTTAAAATGCATCATTCAGTGATTCTGGAATCAGAAATGTAAATAATTATCTGAGCCTTAATTGCATATGGAAAAACTGAGTGGAAAAATTGTTAATTTATTTCACGGTGGAAATTAAAGCAACAAGGGTAATATTTAAGTTTCAATAATTACTGTTCACATTTAAATGCATCGAATGCAAAAATTTCGAGGAAGCATAAAAATCTACACTATTAACATAATATTTATGATAATAAGCAACAATTTATCATTATTAATTTTTATTTTAATTTATGTTTAATCATCCGCATATAATTTTAGAATCTATTGTAGCATGAAATGAGGGTAATTTTTATTCGAATAAACAACGCTTTATGAAAATTTAAAATATTGAGAAATTAAGTTACATGTAAAGCTGTTAATGACAATTAGCAATTAATTATATGAAATTATTTAAATTTTTTAATTATATTTCACCGCTTATTTTTATGTAACTTCCTAATAGAAATTGGACAAGCAACTGACTAACGTTTAATTAAACTAATGAGGAATATAACAAACTTGTTAATAAAAAAAAGTTGTTAATATTTCACATAAGGTATGGGAAACATAAATTTTATATTTCCAAGAATAAATCTTTCAGACAAAGAGAAAATGAATTTGTACCATAATGAAAACCGAACGGATTAAATATAAAAAAGAGCGGAAAAGCTATTTCACATGAGAATTTAAATTCCAGTTATGAATTTAGTTCGAATATCAATCGCTAGGTAGCGCATGCGCACAATATACATGTTCCGCCTCTAATTCCCAACGTAAATCAGAAAATATGAAATAAAAATATCACTCTCCACTGTATTGATAAAATTACAGTAATTCACAAGCGGAAGAAAATTTATAACAGATCTATCCTCATATTCAAACAATTCTGGGATAATTAGATAAAATATTAGCCGATGAATGCAATGTCCTAATTAGAAAATTCAGATATAATGCTGCGTGCAGTTCATTTTATTTCAGATATTTAAATACCTTTATTCGCTTTCATTATCATGTTATACGACTGTACGATTATTATCGTATAATTATAAGTAAGAAATAACGATTATTATCGTATAATAATATTTCTCGTGTATATATCGCTAGATCTAGTGATCAGAATATTAAAATTAAAATGAATAGAAATATACGAATTTTGTATATCATATTCGTGATTAATTTTTGACACTCGAAAATTGAACATAGAATGCTTATAATGCATTATTTGTTTAAATTAAATACATGTTATGGAACAGGCGCGTAGGAAGTTTAGAAAACAACCGAAATAGTGTTAGCAGCGCTGTCTGTTGGTATTACAAAGAAGTTTAATATATTGCATATTTAGATTAAGTATTGCACAGTCGGGGTACAGAATAAACCACTCATGTCAGTGCTGATCATGTCACACGATCTGATATACCGACATTGTCGACTTCATCTTTTAACACAGTCCTATTGCACATTTTACGTTTGCTAATTTCAAAAATTATATTAGCAAAAATAATTACTTCGCTTGTCTATTAAACTTGTGTCAATGAACGTTCTGTTATGATTGAATTTAACATTTAAGCTTGCGTTCGTAGCTAAAATATTGTAGCGACTTAACTTCTACAAAGTACATGAAAAGTAATAGTTTATTGTGAAAAAATTTATTCACATAATTTATATTTATTTTAAAATATTTATTCGAAGTCTCTTTCGTGAATAATTTAAAAAATTTTTAATTATGTAGGGGCTATATGAAAACGGTACTGGTGGCGCCATCTCCTCGGCGAACGGGGTGAACTACACACTTTTGAAACTGTAGTTTAATTAGTTCTCATCTTGTACCACTAGATGGCGCCAGGAGACCAGCGGTTGTGGTGATCATCGGAGTTGTCGTCGGTCAAGAGAAATTTTATTTTCAAGCCGTCGATAAAGAAGAATTTTACTTGTATTTGATATTAATTTTATTTATGTTCAATTGTATTTTTAAAAAAAGAACGTTCGTTATTCATTCCATAATCAAATCTGAATTCAAAACCATATATTTTAAAATCAATTTCAATAAATCAGTTATTTTTGAAAGTTATTATTAATTGACTATGTTAAATATAGAAAAACAAACTGTATACGGTGCCAGACAGATACTCGGGGGATAATTAGAACTAGGTCTGTTTGATTAGGCGCTCCGATTTGCTCCGCGCCTAACCTAACAATGTTGAGCGAGCGAGTAAATTTCACGCTAAAGCAAAAATAGTCAACCGTGTCATCCGGTTGAATTGGTTGAGTGGTGCAAAAGAAAAGCGTGGACAAAAAAGTTGAAAAGTCAAATACTCACTTTATGAAGTTAATTACTCACTTTCTGAGCACAGTTTATGAACTTTTATGATTAAAGAATGGTCAGCCATGCATTATTTACATGGCTCAATCATGAAAGTTCATAAATAATGTTCGGGTAATGAATAATTAATTATTTTGTGTCAGCATTGCGATACGTACATGAGCCGCCTATGTCAATTCTACTGCACATGTAAAGTGCAATATTTCGGCACTGTGACGACGTAGTGTGGTTCCTGAGGCATTTAGAAACAAATTTCTATTAGGGTTTGATGCGTTTTGATGCCTAATAAAGCCGGAAAATTAATTTTTGTCGAATTCGGTCCAAAACGGTACAAGTGGCGCCATCTAGCGGCGAGCGGCGGAACTACGAAAAACTAAAATTTCGGTTTTCTCGAAAACTAGCGAATTTGAAGTACTTCTGAGGGTCAGAAAGTGTTATGTGATCGCATTAGAAGCAAAATAATGCAACAACAGCTTCCTATCAGCTTTAATAAGGAAAATAAAAAAAATGTCATTTTATGGAGAAAATTTGTGGCGCCATCTAGCGGCGAAACTGCGAACTAAACTAAAAAACGTATGTCCGAACACGCGTTAAGGAAAAATATAAAAAGTAATATTTCGCAAC